GTGTGATGGAGAGTTATAGGGTGTGATAAAGTGGCAGGGTGCAAGAGCCTGATGGGATGTGATAGAGAGCAAGGTGTGAGAGTGACAGGGTGCAAGAGCTTGATGGGGTGTGATAGAAAGTAAGGTGTGAGAAATGGACAGGGTGCAAGAGACTAATGGGGTGTGATAGAGAGTGATGGTGTCAGAGAGTGACATGGTGTGATTAAGAGTGACAGGCTGTGATAGAGAGTAATTGTGTGATAGAGTGACAGGGTGCAAGAGACTGGTGGGGTGTGATGGAGAGTTATAGGGTGTGATAAAGTGGCAGGGTGCAAGAGCCTGATGGGATGTGATAGAGAGCAAGGTGTGAGAGTGACAGGGTGTGAGAGAGACTGATGTGGTGTGATAGAGTGACAGGGTGTGATAGAGACTTGATGGTGTGTGATAGTGACAGAGTGTGACAGAAACTGATGTGGTGTGATATAGAGTGACAGGGTGCAAGAGACTGATAGGGTATGATAGAGAATGACAGAATGTGATACAGTGACAGGGTGTGATAGAAACTTGATGGGGTGTGATAGATGGTGAAAAGGTGTGATAGAGACTAATGGGGTGTGATAAAGAGGGACAGTGCATAAAAGAGAGTGACAGAGTCTGAAAGAGACTGATGTGGTGTGACAGAGAGTGACAGGGTGTGAAAGAGACTGATGTGGTGTGACAGAGAGTGACAGGGTGTGAAAGAGACTGATGTGGTGTGACAGAGAGTGACAGGGTGTGAAAGAGACTGATGTGGTGTGACAGAGAGTGACAGGGTGTGAAAAAGACTGGTGTGGTGTGATAGAGAGTGACAGGGTGTGAAAGAGACTGGTGTGGTGTGATAGAGAGTGACAGGGTGTGAAAAAGACTGGTGTGGTGTGATAGAGAGTTACAGGGTGTGAAAAAGACTGGTGTGGTGTGATAGAGAGTGACAGGGTGTGAAAAAGACTGGTGTGGTGTGATAGAGAGTGACATGGTGTGAAAAAGACTGGTGTGGTGTGATAGAGAGTGACAGGGTGTGAAAAAGACTGGTGAGGTGTGATAGAGAGTGACAGGGTGTGAAAAAGACTGGTGTGGTGTGATAGAGAGTGACAGCGTGTGACAGAGACTTGATGTGGTGTGATAGAGAGTGACAGGGTGTGACAGAGACTTGATGTGGTGTGATAGACAATAATAGCTCTAACCATTAAACTCTATTAAACCATCAGTGCACAGATATGTAAATAATTCATCATTTTATTAAATCACTCAGCTAAAACTAAAACTTTTTATAAGACACCAGAATGACACAAAACTCAAACAGTTTTACAAAACAAATCACCTAATTAAAATCAAACAATAATAAATAGTTGAACAAATGTAACCTACAGATCCTTCACGTTAGTGAAGTTGAAAATATAATGAGGAAGTGTGTGTGCTCATTGATCTCATTGGGTTTTTGTCCTTCAGAGGCTTCAGCTTTTTAGGACCCCAGCATGAGGACCTCAGATGGATACATTAGGAAGCAGTCTTCACATTCACTGATCAACATGGTTCCTTCACAGTTCATTAATAAAAAATCACTACAAAACTAAAGATTTAACAGTCCTTGAAAAAAATGGACAAACTTTGTTTCTAGTTTTGGACTAAAATCATCTCATGGTTTGAAATGATGAATTTTAGCCATTTTGATCAAACCTTTAAAATATTGTGAGGTATCAGATGATAGGTTATCTCTCAGGGTGTGTTAGGAAATCAGTCTCATCTACTCCAGTATTTCAGGCCCTGGTCTCCAATGCAAGCTTGGTTAAATAAAACTTAAGAAAAATAAAAATGATCAGTATTTGTAAAACTGACTGAGTTAAAACCACTTTATATTTGCTAAGTTTGTTTATTTTGTTTAGTTGTGGTGTATTCTTCTTAGGAAACATTCTCAGCCACAGTCTGAACATCATTTAGCTCTGTGTCAGCGGAGGTGGTCCCCTCTGTGTATTCTACAGTCCAGTATAATCAGACCACAGGTTAACTCTGCTCCCCATTCTTATGTTAACTCTGCCTCCCCCATCCCCCTTTCCAGTTTCCAGTTGAAGAAATTAAAAACATGATTACTTTCTGAGCGTATCACTAAAATAAATCTGATGGTTCATCAAAAATTCAGCAGGTGAAAAAAGGTCTTAAACTCATTGGTAACAAGACCTCCTACGCACCATCTCATCCTGGACTAATGCACCTTGAGGGACCCATGGATCTGCATTTCTAGAGGACCTGGAATTTCCAGGAGTTTTGGTCTTTGTGGTCCAGGCAGTCCATGGTAGTAAAACCAAGTTTCCAGGCTTGCTGGTCCTTGTAGTCCAGGCAGTCCACAGAGGTGAAGCCCAGGGAGGAGGCGGTGCTGTAGCCCTGTGAGGACAGAGAGGCTGGGGACTGGCTCAGAGAGCCCCCCATAGAGGGGACAGTGATGGGACTGAGAGCCCCYCCAGTGCCTAAMAGCTGTGAGTGCATGGGGGAAAGGTAGGGGCTGCAGTCCAGACCCGTGAAGTAGGAAGTTGTGCTGGTGTAGCCCTGGGTGTAGGCTGATGGCTGGCCATAACTCATGGGGTAGGGAGATGGTCGCTGCATGCAGGGTGCTGAAGGAGAGGCCAGGGGGTCCGGTAGGGGTGAGATGGCCGGGCTCCAGATGGACACAGCAGTGTTTCCAGTACTGGAGTTCTGCTCCATGCTGGGCCCGGCTGACTGGGCCGAGGAKGGGCTGAAAGATCCAGATGGATTGGGAACTGGATCAGGAGCACTGGACTCCTGCACTGGTGAGGCCTTCTTCTTTTGTGGCCGTGGCTTAGACTGCCCRCTGCTCTGCTGCTGCTGCTGGCGACATTTGGCCCGACGGTTTTTAAACCACACCTGAAACCATAAAGAACAGGCACAGATGATAGAAGACCAGTTCCAGAACCCAAAGGTAAAATATCAGGTCTCAAAGCTCTTTACAATCTATGTCAGCATTTACCCATTCACACACATTCATTCAGCACTCTACTAGATCTCTACAAAGATAAGACAGATAAATCAATCTAGAGAAACTAATCAGTGCTTTAAATCAAATCCGCACACTGATGGGACACATCAGAGACAGTGGGGGTTCAGTGTCCTGACCAGGGACACTCATATGACTAAATATCAGTGGATAGGTAYGTTAGAATCAGTCTCTAGGTCTACAGGGAGATCAGGTCTATTGTTGTCTTAGAATCAGGTTTGTAGGTCCATGTTACGATCAGGTCTATAAGTCCACATTAGTATCAGGTCTATAGCTCCAGGTTAGGATCAGTTCAGATCAAGTAAATATGGGTCAGAATTTTTTTTTGAGTGGGACTTCCGTTTCACTGCTTCATTGGGCTAACTAACAGCAGCTTGACTGAACTGGTGAACTATGTCATGGGAACATTTCCAAAAATCACTGAACAATCAAAGTGACAAGTCAGCATCAGAACCTCAAACTAGTTTCCAGGGTGAGGATCATGTAACATAWGAGGACATTTTAAACTACTGTGTTGTTACTTGGTGTGGATGGGTCTACAATGYGTAATTACAAAAGTACAGAGGTGTMTTAGTACMTCCACAGTAGAAAAGTTGGCAAGATATTCACCAATAACAATATTGATGACCTGATAGTCATGAAGGCTGAGGCTCAACCAAGCCAAAGCTAGTCTGATGTCTGAGGCTGAAAAACATGAATGGAAGTCAATGGAAGGTCCCCACGGGGTCAAGAAACAAACGTGTGTGTGTGTGTGTGTGTGGGG